AGCCCAAAAAGTAAAAAAGAAAAATGACAGACCATTTTATCCTTTCTCCATAGGACGAGTATTTGTGTGGTCTGCTTAGAATCGAAAGATCACTCTTTCAAGCCGTCTGCTTAAGATCAATATTGTATTATTAGTTGTTGCGTAATTTTACTAAGCTGTTTAAGCAGCAGAACGCTGGCGTAATGGTTATGTCTCTTGCCTTTACCTCTAGATGAGATATTCAATTCACAGCAGGATTCACTTGTTAATTTCATATCTTTTTGACAGAAATCAAGGACAAGAAATATATACTATTCAATATATGATTTATTTTTCCTAGTCTAAAAATGTTTTCTTCTGGGTGAGTTTATGGCAGTATATTTAAAAAATAAATAATAATAATAATAAAAAACGACACTTGAGTAGAATATACATTCTTTCCCCTAACTGGCTCACTGGTCGAATCATTGAGACATAACAAAGTAAATGTCGGCGGCATTGTTGTTTGAAAATGTGCAAGCGCGAAAGCGTTCAATTGAATTTTGTGTTGGCTTCTGTGCAAATAACAATGAGAACAAACAAGACACACACACACACACAATACGATGCATACACACGCACACTGTTCAAATACAGGCGAAAGGGGGCAGAGTTCAGGATTTAATTTATGTTCGACTGATTTTTCTAAACAAATCGCTATTGAAACAAGAAGGTTCATTTTGATTATTATACTCCCAACGTTTCGACTGTTATACCCTCTAGCCTTCTTCAGGTGTCTGTCGTCTTACTGGGTAACCTTCGTGAAATTTTGAATTTAACTCTTTATTCAATCCACGTGGTTGTTTTTTTTTTTTTTTTTTGGTGCTCGCATTCTGATTTCTATATTGTAAATTGAGGGTGTATTTCATGTCAGTTAATACTCACTGAAATTTTATTCACCTTCGTGTCGCTTGTCTGTTTCTTCCACTGAACCGAAATATATAACTTTTCAGCACTTCATTGTTTGTTAAAAGTTTGTTAAAAGTTTGTTACTAGTTCATAAACTGACTTTATGATGAAGTAAAAAAGGTATAACGCGTACAAGCGGTGGCTACTGCCGTATTAAAGAACAAACGAAAGCAAACTTGACCCTTGAAAACACACACACACACACACACACACAATTTAGTTTTAGGGTTAGCGTTGCAAGTGTTGACAAAAAAATTAAATGATCTTTGTTCATAATTATAAAATTAAAAAGAATATACACTACTAGTGAATATTTTTGTTGTTCCTGGTTTTCCCTTGTCGGATTTATATCCAAAAAATGTTATTTCGCCTAAAGAACTATTTGAATGTTAATGATCATTATTAAAAGTATCGAAAATACCAAAATATACCCCAGTTATTAACATTTAGCCTCATGCTTTTTTTTTTGTTCGTGGGTTTATGTACACAAGTTATTTGCATATCTCATTTGAATATTTTTTTCCGAGTAGTATATGTTAGAATACCTTTTTAATAGTTAAAATCTTATATCGCCTACCATTTTCTGTTCAGTTGCTCAATATCCACCTAACAGTTGAAATCTATCACCGGTGGGTGATATCGCCCAGCTTGACTTAGCTTTCTTCTAGCTTTTCTATAAATATTTTCATGCCATTTCTGTTTAATGAGCTCTCCTTTTTGGTGCTTCGACCACATGAATTTAATTAGATTGGCAACTAGGTGTCATCATTTTACTGTTGAAATATCTAGATGCAACCGTAAATTCTATTCTAATAGTTTCTTCCGATTTCTTGCTTCCTTCTCACCTACGATCTTCAAAAATTTAAACGCAACGTCAATCACCATTTTTTGACTTCCTGAATCCGATTCTTTTATTATCCCTTCTCTTCACTAAAGTCGTCCTGAGTATGATGATAAATTACATCCGGCAGTAAGGCCTCTAATTGCGGGGTTTGAGGAACGTGGAATCACTTAACTGCTGCTATTCCCAAGTTTGCCCTGACTCGTGGTGGTAGCACCTGTTAGGGTCCCCGCTATAGGCAAATAGTGAACCCGCCAAACTATGGTCAAAACATGATGATATATATCTTTGTAGTGAGAATACGAGTAATATATTTTCATAGTGAAAAAAAAATTACCAGCAATACATTTTTGAAAAAAAACTATGAAAGCTCCCAAGAAAATTAAATGTCTGCATTAAATGACCTATAAGAATTTGATATGCCGTAATCTAAACCATACCAATTTAACTAAAGTCTTCTCAATGCAGTTCATTCTCAGTAACCTCCTTGCGTCTTAGTGACATAATCGCCTTACTTGGTAAATAAAAATGGTTCAGTTGAAGAAACAAACAAGCGACACAAAGGTGAATAAGCGTGAGTATTAATTTGTTTTTTAAAACACAAGGGACTACTGGGAATTAAAGAGATTGAGCAAACTTTAGAAGGAACCTGAAACCCAATCCTGAAATATTGATTATGTGTAAGATTGTTAAATATAGCCTTAGCTTTGACAAGACAGTATTCTTTGTTGTTTTCCTTTTGTTTTGTTTTTTTGTTTTTTTTTTGTTTGTTTGGTTTTTTTTTTTTTTTTGTTTTTTTTTTTTTTTCTTGGGATTTTTTTTGTTTGTTGTTTTTTTTGTTTTTTTTTGTTTGTTGTTTTCTTGTTTTTTCTTTTGTTTTCTTGTTGTTTGTTTTTTTGCCTGTTTGTTTGTGGGGTTTTTTTTGCCTGTTTGTTTGTTTTTTTTTTTGCCTGTTTGTTTTTTTTTTTTTTTTTTGCCTGTTTGTTTGTTTTTTTTTTTTTTTGCCTGTTTGTTTGTTTTTTTTTTTTTTTTGCCTGTTTGTTTTTTTTTTTTTTTTTTTTGCCTGTTTGTTTGTTTTTTTTTTTTTTGCCTGTTTGATTTTTGTTGTTTTTTTTTTGCTTGTTTTTTTGTCTGTCCGTTGATTTTGTTTCTTTTTTTTCTGTCTGTTTTTTTTTTTTTTGTTTCTTTTTTAAATACTTTCTATTGCGTCTGCCCCATCCTGTACATACACAAACTATGAACTAGTTTTTTAACATACCATCTTCGAGATTTGGGGGAAAAATTTCGTAACTTGCAGAATATTGAAATTTTTTTAAATTATTGGTAGGAGTAAATAAGAAAATTTTATAAATTTAAAAAATATATTTCTAATACATAAAGGATTACTAGAAAAAAATGGACAATCTTAGATCGTCGTGTCCACAAAAAACGCAATGTCAAAAATAAGTTTTTTTCCATTGACACCGCTATTATTTTAACTACTTTCGCTCCTCAGCAATATTTGTTTTAATGAAAGTGAATTTATACATTTTTTTGTTATTGGGTATTTATAACAAAAATATTAATCATATTTATGTTCAATAATTTTATATTTACAACATTCTAAAAAACTAATACAATTAAATATTCATCATTTACCAATTTATAAAGAAATAAATATGAAAACAATTTTTTATTCATAAATTTACAAACACTAAATTATTAACATGTGAACGAACTATAAGGAAATCTTTATTGTTTAACATTTTATAAAGCTTGAATCAGTTGGCACTTGCCCATGTTAAGCGAAATATTCCAATAAACAATCTAATACAAAGAAAATGTATAATGTTTAGATTTTATATTACAATTCTAATTATCACTTTTTAATACAATAAACATTGCCCAGGGGTAAAGGTAGTTAAAATAATAGCGGTGTCAAAGGAAAAATTGTTCTTTTGACAATCCTTTTTTTTTTTTTTCCGGGTACGTAGGTCCAAGATCCCCCCCCCCCCCAATGATTCTCATCTGTTCGCCATTGTTGGAAATTGGCAAACAATTGGCTTCATTTAATACTTTGTGCGAAATAGTCTATATATCATATCGCTGTACATTCCATTCTCTTTAATTCATAGTCCAGCAGCCCTTAATTTTTTTTTTAATCAATCGCCATTAACTGCTACGATGGCAGCGCCACACGTTGCTTACAACTTTCCTCAGCAGCAGTGTGTTTAGATGATACGGTTTTATTCATTTCTTAACTGCCTATTTAACCATTCAGGAAAGTAAGTATATATTATTTTTTTGTTTTAGATGTTTACATTTGCATTACATGAAACAATAAAAACCTTGTTTGGGGGCATTAATGATTTTCATTTCCTGTCTTAAAATTTGTTCTAACTTTGATAGCACAACAATCTATATGTAAAATGAGCTGACAAGATTATATTTACATAGGGTTTTTTTTATAGGTGATTTCTGTCATCCGGCAATGATATGTCCCCAGTGGCGTCTAATGAAAGAGGTCAGATTGTATTTGCTAATCCCTGACAGGCCATAATATTGGGCCACAGAGTGATCGGTACTTCTTTAATAGCTTAGGTTTATAAGTATGATAAAAAGTTTTCATTTCTTGCAGATTACATTTTTAAAAAAAAGTATAGATCAATTAATAATCCTAAAAGTTGACTCGACTATCAATAAATGTCAAATGTTTGATTCTTCGAAATAGTCAACGTCGTTTCATTTTAATCTTTCCAATTGATTCAGTCATGTAATTATCGATTATACAAATTAAAATAGAATCTTTCAGTTTGACGGTCAGACACTATTTTTTTAAATTTTATTTGCAATACTTTATATATATCCCTTAGCTATTAGGGAAGTTATTTTTATAGCTTAGGAAAGGTAGTAATGGAAAGCTAGAAGAAAGGACTAACTATTGACTGTAAGGAGACTGAATGTACAGTCATCAGCAAAGGAGAAAGTTTATGGTGTGAACTACGTATTGGGGATTAAAAAGAAAAAAAACTTGTAGTTCCAAAGAATGATTTTTGATTCGTTAGAACTACAAGTTTTTTCTTTTAATTATGCAACTACCAACGGAGACAAGCATCCTAACTTTGATGCCTACTGGGGACTTTAAAATCAAACAGGTACAGATATATATTATATATAAGTGATGATGAAAAGTGATACGAAATACGAAAGTTCATAGTATTAGCGAAAGACGTCTTCCAGAAACTAAGAGGCTTACAGCCATATTACGTTGAAACGTTGGTTCTCGTCCGATCACCGAAGTTAAGCAATATCGAGCCTGGTCAGTACCTAGATGAGTGACCGTTTGGTAATACCAGGTACTCTAAACTTGGATTTGTGAATGGTGTAATGGATAATGGCTCGGAATTGTTAATCGGAGAGCCAAGTTCCAATTCCAATCGGGTTCATTATATTCACTTACGCCCTTATCAGTAAATCCTTATTATATCCAAAAATTCTTACAATCAAAAATTATCTTCTAGTTTTAAATAACCTGCAAAAAGTTGATAATCCGTAAAAAAAAAAAACCTCCACATCAGCCAGTCCAAAAACTAAGCAAAGTATAAAGGGATCTGAAAATATTAAAACAAAGAAAAGTCTGAGCTGCTATGTAATATTTAATCTCTTATCTGACAATGACTGCTGGACATTTTTCTCACAATTGAAAAGGAAACTTGTGGCAAAAAAAGATGTTTTTACTGATGAATGTTGAGAATACCTTGGACAGAACATGTAAACAATTAAGAAGTCTTAAAGAAAATAGAAAAATAAGGAACCTTATACTTTTAGAAAGACGATTGAAATTTTTGGTATATTATATTGAGGAAAAAGGATCTCAAGAATCTAACATTTATCACATGATATATTGAAGGTAAGAGAAGCGACAGAAATTTTTAAAAAATAACCTATTTTAAAGAGCGTCGTAGAAGAGAAAGGTTTTGTTTTTTTTTCCCAAAATATTTAGCCGCTGGACCGGAGTTTTCATCTTCTTCCTCTTTCTATTTGAGAGAGAAATATATGTAGAAAAAGAGAGTGAAAGATAGAGAAATGAGGATTTAAAGGGAAAGCAAATGCTTTGTTTTATCTGAATTCTTTTTTGTGTTTGTTTTGTAGATTTTGATTTTTATATTTTATTGGACTCACAATTATAATTAAAATGAAGACGCAATAAAGGGGAAATAACCATCATCGTACACCTTTTAAAGAATTCATCGGGGTTTTATGAAAGTGATATTCTTCCTTGCTTTGGTTTTTTTTATATACATATTTCGTTTAAATAAAACTCTGTAAAAAAAAAAATACCACAATTGGTAAAAAGCAAATTGAGGAAGTGGGCCTCCTCCTCCAGTCTGCTACGACCCTGAAAAATTGTGTGAAATGATGGCAGAACAATGACAAAGGAAGATGGTAAACGGTCAGAAATGATTTAGAGCAACAAAAGACAGAAAGTTGAAGAATTTGTCAAAATGTTTGCAATTTGAATACCTAGTTCTTTAAATAAACTCCTCCATCAAAATGAATCAATATAAATTCTTTATATTTAAACACACAAACTTTTACCAATATTTAAAGCTTTGTAAAAAGTTATGTATTATTGTAAGTAAAAAGAGCCCAACATGCGAATTACAAATTGGAGATGACAAAATCAAGCAAGCACAACAATTTTAATATCTGGGAATTGTTTTAAATGTGACAACGAAATCCGAAGTTGCATTGGGATAGCGAACGTTGCCTTCCATGAAGAAAAGACTTAAGGCAAAATGCGGTTCTACAGAAGGATGCTGAGAATACTATGGACTGAATATGTGAGCAATGACGAAATTTTAGAGAAAATGGAAATAAACAACATTTATATTTAACATCAGAAAGAGACAATTGAAAATTCTAGGCACATAATCAGGAAAGAGGGCTTCGAAAATGTGACACTCACAAGATATTGCAAGCAAGAGGGACAAAGGAAAGCAGCTGATAACCTACCTAACGAGATTGTGTAAATGGTTAGTAGAACGAGGAATGGGCGAGATAGAGAAAAGACAAAATTTACTAAGCTACAAAGGACAGGAAGTTGTGGAGAGCCATGATCCCAAAGGCAAACGGCACATTGGAGGAGAAAAAGAAGAAATATTTTAGTTTTCTAAGATTGTATATTTTGTTTATATCCTTTCATTGTTTATGAAGCTAACAGAAAAATGGAAGATTTCAATATTGTCACTGATATATGTTTAGTTTAAGTATGTCTGTTGGTTTAAACCAAAATTTTCCCAAAGTGGGGCGCATGGTAATATTTTGGTGGGGTATGCGTAGGATATGCACCTTTCGTCTTACTATACCAACATGAACTCAGATTTCATTTTGCATTATTATTTCATGATTAAAATTATTAAAGTATATTACAGAATAAGATTTTATTCAAATATTTTTTATTTCTTCCTTTCAGTTCTCAATTATATATATTATATATATATATTTAACTGTCCTTTTGTTTGTTTTTTTTTAATTTTTCTCTTTCATGGATGCCATGGTCTTTGGAAGCTTTTTTTAGAGACAATGTTAATAACCTTTTAAGCTTCCTTAACGTGAATTGCAGTAAAATTTTGAATATGTAAATTAAATATTACATATACTACGTATACGTATATTACGTATATTATATATACTAAAGTGGGGCATAGCTCAAAATCGGTTAGGAACCATTGGGTTAGACAGTACTTTTCACTTGTGATCGATATTCGATCCCAAGTAAAGTCAAGTAGGTTAATTGGAAATGTTTAAGAAAGCACAATATCTACTTAGTAAATATCTGTAAATTCCGATGAGAAGATAAAACGGTAAAAGTGCAAAATATTGAAACCAAAACCGCGTATATTTTGGATACTAATTAATTTATGATTGAATTTATTTATTAAAAGAATTTTGTAAGAAAAAATTACGGAAATTTAAAACCAATCTTAACTGTTTTTTGTTGTTTTTTTTAATTTTTTAAATCTTAAAATGTAATTTGAAAACTTATTTACACTTAAGTCTCCAGAGAAATCAAATCGATTAAAAATTTGATTTTAAGTTACATAAAATTATGTCCTGAATCAGAAAAATTTTTTTTTCTCTTTTTCAAATATTTAACTACTACTTTTGTTCTGTGTCCCAAGATACAAATAGACAATGAGTTCAGCAGATATACAAAAATAGAAACAGGTGTAAGACAAGGATGTGTTTTCTCACCGGACTTATTATGATGTTAAGAATGCGTCCTTTTTGTTTACATTGTATCTAGAACTTTGTCGTTGTGCACATGTTAGATCCCTGGTATTCTCAACATCCATCTGTAGGAACACATAAACTACATTTTTAATGAAATATTCTACTACATATTTTTTATGCTGTGAAAAAAAAATGTTGATAATTGAAATTTATTTTCATTTAAAAAAATTATCAATTTTTTCACAAGTTTACAAAATTGTTCTCTATTAATTGTTTCAATAATTGAGAAATATAACGTTTGACCAAAAAAAAAATTCAAGATGTGTTGGTTGCCCCAATTAAAATAATCAATGAATAAATGAAACAATAAATCATTTAATTCTTTGGCGCGAACAGAGACCCATATTCTTCATTTTTACCATTAAAATAATCTTAAGAATTATTCAGAATATTACTGATAGTTTTTTTTTTTTTTTTTTTTAAGTTATCTATTAAAGTTCTATGATAATTTTAAGCAAATATTATCTACTGAAATTAAAAATTGCATAGCATGTAAAATCAGAATTTTTTTTCCATTATTATTTAATGGAACATCTGCCATCAGACGTTGGTTAGCAGGGCGAATTGGGTTATGCCAGTGCTAATGAATTTAAATGCAAAACCGATGTCTCCATTCACCACTTGTCCAAAAACTAATAATTTCTACATCTGAGGAAACTTGAAACAGCTGTGGTTTAAACCACCCTGAAACCAGAGAATTAACAATATGGGCGCAAGTGTATTGTTTAATTTTAATAGGGAAAATGATATCTACTTGGGGCACATAAGTTGCAATTATCTGATGTTTGAGAAACGTGAGAAGTTTAGTGACGGCCCTCAGAAAACAAAGGCATAACTGATCCTTTTCCAAGAATTATAACTAGGTGGAAATAATCAAATATGAAAAAAAAAAGAATCTTATATATATACGCGCGCGAGTGCACGCACACACACGTGTATATATATATATATATATATATATATATATATATATATATATATATATATATATATATATATATATATTTTTTTTTTCTTTCCTGTGTGCATCTACAGTAGACTCCTTTTTAAGACCTGCTTATTTCTGTTTATATTAGAAAGTTCTACCATGGATGACTAGAGACCAGGTTCTGTTGAGCACTTCTTTTTGCTTGAAAGCATTAGGCTCCGTGGTCCCTTTGTGGCATTGACCACTTTTAAACCGCACCGGCAAACTATTTTTTTTTGTTTTGTATAGGGGGGGGGGGCGGAGGGTACAATTTTGTGTTTACGCATTATTTGATCTTCGCTGAATGGGTGATTTCCCCCCCCTCGTCAGGTGAGTTTGGTGTGTGCGTGTAATACACGTACCGGTCTTTCTTTTTTTTTTTTTTTTTACATCTCTGACTCGCCTGAAGGAATAAAAGTTCCCATTTTCTCACTACAGCTGACGATTGCGTAAAAGCATGAAACTCACAGTAGTGGTCGGTCACTGTCCGCTAGAAATTTAATTCGTAATAGTAGAAGTCCTCATACCTGAACTTCAGAGTAGTTCGGATATGAGAACGGTTTCAAATATAATGTGACATACGTAATATAACTGTCACTTAACAAGAACTTATCGCAATATATGAAAAATTAAGTTTCTCACGAAAATAAATATTAATTTGCAACGTTTAATTCTCAATAAGTTTTATTTTCAATTGTCTTTCTTATTTCTTTTCTCATTTCGCTTACTTCTCGCTGTTCTAATTTTTTTTTAAGTAATGCATTTCTGCAAATTACGTGAAATTGTACGTTCTGTACTATTGAATTTTCGCCATGAATTTGATGACTTCATCAACAGCTTTCTCTCTACTGAGTCCCAGTCTTCATCTTCATTCATATTTTCACCATTATCGGAAGAATTTGATTCTTGACAATCCAAATCATTTTGAAGCGCTTCTGCCGTTGAATTCTTTTCTAATTAATTCATTACCCTTCTTCATTTAAGTCATCTGAAGTGAGAATATTCAGTTTTAGTGTTTCGTTCAGATTCTACAATCTTTGTTAATTTGCAAATTCAGCGAATTAAGAGCTTCGTTCAGTTTTTCAATAATCTCTAA